TTTGAAAGACACTATTATATAATTTTTCTGTAAAACATGTTACCACATAAAAAATTCCATTTAAAACTCTCCCCTGAACCTCGGGGGCACCTATAGACACAATTACACAAGCTGTTCTAAGATCTTGGTGATAAAGTGTCTGGGTTCATTTTATCTTTTTTTGTTGTTGTTAAATTTATTAAAAACAGAAATTTATTTTTCACAGTTTGCAGGGGCCATTTTCTTTTTTTAGGGTTGAAAACATGACCAATTTTCCGTCCCAGGGCGTTGGGAGAATGCTGAAGTTCTCAGTGGAGCCAGGTTGATAGAGTGTGAGGAGTGGGGAGAAGGATGTTCTACAATTAGAATTATAAAAGTTTGTGTTTATTATCTGGATATTTTAATTAATGCTATTTTGAGAAATAAACATTACAACTTAAAGATTATATAATGAGTATGTTAGGACTGAATAAGCAAACTTACTTCAATTAGTATTTTTTCTCTGAAACCTGGCATATTTCTGCAACTCACTATATAAATTATATGAAACCAATATTCTGGGCTCCATGGGTCACTGTCCCATTCCATGAAGGAAATAAGAGCTTTTCTTACAACAACAGACACCTACCTAAGCTTTTATTGCCTCTCCAACTATTAATAATTCACCCCGTGGAAACTGGAGGCACATTTTTAAAAGATCAGATTATTTATCTCTCCATTAATCACTCTGAAGTAAAATTTTATAATGTCTTCTCATCACCCTTAGATAAGGATTGCCAGACAAAACATAGGACAAGTGTTATATTTTAAGTATTATTTTATTGCAGAACAAGTATTGGATGAGACAATTACACCAAAAGTAATTATCTAAAATTCCAATTTAATTAGGCAGCTTCTATTTTTATTTGCTAAATCTGGCACTCTTGTTTAGCTGATATAGTACACCCCTTTTAGTGGCCTACAAATCCTACTCATTCTGGCATCTGTCTGCTTTGATTGCATCATGCTATATCAGTCTCTAACACACTCTTCTCTATTCCTTTTTTTTTTTTTTTTTTTTTTTTAATAAACTGCAGGGTGACCTGTCAGTGGGTTGTGAAATCAACTCAAAGGGCCTGTGTTTAACAAAGAAAGAAGAGAGAGAGAGAGAGAGAGAGAGAGAGAGAGAGAGAGAGAACGCGCGAGCGCAATTGCAAAAAAAAATTAAAGAAAGGAATAGAAACAAAGGTAAAAATGCATAATGTGTAGTAAAAGACAAATGCTTCATAAAGCTCTGGTTTAAGCTATACATGTGTATGTGTGTGTCTGTGTCTGGTGTCTCTAGGTGTGTCTTAGGTGACAATATAAAATTAATTTCTTACTGTGGGTCAGGGTCAAGTATTACTGTGGGTCAGGGTCAAGTATTTTGAAAGCCACTGCCTAGCCACATTGCTCCTGGACCTTTGCAAGTTCTTTTTCCTCTGCATAGAATGATTCTCCTCTCCATAATACCTTATTCTCCTCATATGTCTGGCTCCTTGTAATTACTGGATTCTAAACTTAAATGACACCTTCTTAAGGAGGCTTACAACAATGGAATATGTTGAATATTAAAGAGACTGATTCACCTTGCTCTAAGGATCTGTGGCAGACAAACATATTTAATGGTAAGATAAGTCATACATCACCCTCCACCCCACACCCCAAATACACAGTTCTCCAATATTATTTGAATTTACTATTAAAGTTGGTACTTTTCTGAGTTGGTTTATATGCTACTTAGAGCAAGTAATGACACCTACTTTGGAGGTGTATTTTATTATCTCTCTTATTTGTTAATGTATTAGTGTAATATCTCTCAAATTTGTTAAATAATGAAACCTAGGAATTGGAATTTACTTTTTAAATTATTTCAATTGGTCAAATTATTTATATAATTTGTTATAGTGTGTAGGTAGCTGATTACTGTAATCTAAACTTCTATGAAGTGTTCTGTTTTTAATCCACAAGCGGGATTCACATCTCTTAGAATAAAATAATTTACAGAAATCCGTTTTGAGGCTCAGAGACAAATCCTTCTTGAATATGCTTACATGGACTAAACAGCTCTGATTTTATCCTAAGTGATACTTATAAAAGCCTTTGCATAATGCCACTCTTTTCCATTTATATAGACTTCTAAAAAAATGAGCATGCTTGTCTTCCAGCTACTAACAACAGATGTGCTTAGCATAAAACATCAGAAGTGAATTTTGCAAACTGTAGCTAAGATCTAGTAAAATTGGAATGAAAATTTGCCTTCAAGGAAGCTATCTGCTATTTTCTTCTGCAAATTTGTTTCATATTTTTCGTAAAGATAAGGGTGAAAGGATGAGCTCTCAGTCATACTTGTGTATTAGCACTACATCTGCTTACCAATTTTAAATATTGTTTTTTTAAGTTTCAATTGGGTCCTTGTGTCACAGACCTTCAATATGAGGTTTTTAATTCAAAAGAGTTGTGAAAATTTCCTATGGCCCCTTTACTTAAAGAAGTCAAGGGTTTTAAATTTTAAAGTTCAGTTACCTCTGTCATAGAGAGTTTTCAACCATTAAGCATCTCTTTAATTTTTTTTCTAAAAATTGCTCAGGATTTAAGTGGAAGCAATAATGTAAACTGAAAAGCATATGAGATTGCCTCTTCTAATTTACGACAAAGAAAGCTACTGCACATGCTTCTTTTAATATTTATAAGCAATTTTCTAAAATATTATATTCTAAAAGCACATTGATTTTCCTTTTAGCAGTAATCATGAGAGGCTTTCAAGTTCCTAAAAGTAATCTTTGAATTTTATCCTGATTGTTGGGTATATTATATTTGTGATAATAACTGTGGGAGTATACTATTTATTAATAGTAGGTTACACTTCTATAGCATTTCAAACTTCTGAAGCACAAATTTATTCTTTTAAGTTCTACACTATATTTTTTCTCAAAGCTTTACAAAATGTTTTGCTTTTGAAATTTTAACACGCTAAATTCAATTTTTAAACTAGGTTGTTTTAGTTTTTCTTTATCTCCCCAAGACTTGAAATATTTTTAATTAACTTTCTTAGTTGACTTTGCTCGACTATGACATGAAACGATTAGCTTTTTATTAAATCTACAAGCCATCAAAGAGGACAATGTAGATGTTTCATAGCAGATAAAATAATGCCTTTCTCATAGAATGATAAAAAAATAAAATTAGGCTTATTGCTTCAAATTTATCACAGAATATATTTCTAGAAATACTATGCAGTGGCACAAGAAGCTGACAATAAAGGTGGGCACCCCATTTTTTGTTGAACTGATCCGTTTTCTAAGATAAATTGCATGAAAACAAACCAAAAGTTTGTTCCACATTAATGCTCTAATAGCATTGATTATTGGATTTGCTACTACAGAATACATTTTAAAAACTAGACACCATTTAAAATATTGTTTCTGACTTGTGGCTGGCCAGATGTCTTGATTGCAGAACAACCCCATTCCCAAATGTAGGCACCAGGCAGCTGTTGTTTTCTTCTCAGAACTTGACAGTTGCCATAGTTTAAAGCCAAGTCTCAATGCTTTGCTAAATTAGTTATTCTCTTCTCACCATATATAGTCATTGACATTTCATAACATTTGAGCAACTCGCTCACGCTTTCATTGAATGAACATGCCACCGAAATCACAATAGTGACTGAAAATTCAAGGAACTGCAATAATTTTGATGATCCTGAATTTTTTAATATAGAAATGTCTATAAAAGGTAATAAATACTGCTAAAGAAATTGACCATAATACCATCACATATATCTGTTGTACTTAAATTTCAAGATTTCATCTATAAATGGATTAAACATGATACTTTTTATATTGTTCCCAGCATTTGGTCTGTGCTTGTGTGTCATGTAATACATTGGGAGTCTTCCAGGTGTGATTTTCATCACTTTAGCTTTTTTGTACGTCTTACTGTGTTGCCCAAGTGACACTACTTCAGTAGTAAGTAGCTGTAGTGTTACGTTTGCATGTTAAGGCTTTCCTAGAATGTACTGAAACGTGTCCTTCCGCATGTCCAGTTTTATCTACCTAACTTCTCACAAAGTGAGAATTGTATAAAGCATCCAGAAGTTTCATGCATAGTGGAATTTTAAATCTAACATTTTTGCTTATATACATAATAATATAAATTGGAGTTATTTTCTTTTTTTCCAAGCCAAACTGTATCCAGCTTTATTAAAGAGACTTTTCATAAACAATCATGGTAATTCAGGCAGGACATGAGCAGACAGTCGTTAACAGTATACAACAACTTTCATACTCCCTTCTTCAATGGACTACCAAAAATCAGGAAGCCACTATAAAAGTCAATGAAATCTTCATCTCATGTTCTGAACAGGGAAAGTTTAGAGTGAGGGTTGACATTTCACATTTAGCATGCTGTTTTACAACTTTTCACGAGCCGACCCTGACTTTCAGGAAGTGAAATGAAAGTGGCAGAATTTATCTGAAGATCCACAATCTGGAAATGGGAACCACTGCTCTTTTGACAGGTGCCATCTCGGTGGCATCACTGAAAGCTTAGATTGCCTGACACACTGGTTACCAATGACTGGGGGTCAGGTCCCAACAGATATCAGGTTTTAAGGGAGTTAAATCTATGCTGAAAGATGAAAAGGGGGAAGAGGACATAAAAAAAAATGAATTTGCTTCCATATCACAAGACTTTTGTGCCGAGGTGGCACATGTGCATCAAAGTCAGGGAATCCCTCCTCTTGGGAGCCAAGAAGTCTCTCAAAACTAGAAGGTAAATGTGTTTTTTCCCTATATCGTTCCAGCTTCAGAGACATTCTATTAGTGACATATGCCCCTTTGCCCCAAAATACCAATGAAGTGTTCTGTGTGCTAACAACATAGCTTAAAAAAAAAAGTAAAACAAAATTCTGCATTTTTATAAAACTTGATTAAAAAAATAGTATTTCAAGCTGTACAAGCTGTACAGTCACCAGAAGTACAGAGTTATTAAAAATGTATACTTCACTTGGCATCTCCAGCACCTTTAGCTTTCTGTGCTTGGTCTGTTTTGGCATCTCCATTTTCGGCAGGGTTATTTCCCTCCTTGCCAGCATCAGTTTTTCCCTTTTTCCCTTTGGGCACCTCCTCTCTCTTCTTTGCTGGGGCCTTTTTAGGCTTGGGCTCTGGCTTTAGAGGGGTAGGTTTAGCAGACAATCTCATGGATCTTCTCCGTGGTTCGTCCTTCACCTTGGCTTTATCTCCTTTAGCATCCCCTTCAGCCTTTCTCTTGGACATGGTGGTGGTGACAGGGGACAGGACATAGGCATTTGGCAAGGATGCAGCACAGCAGTGCACAGGCTTTGATCATTCCCAGGGTCGTTCTCATCTCTTCCTCCTTCACTTTGTTCCTGGAGTTATTTTCAAGATACAGGAAGCATATGCTGCCAGAACCTTTAGATCAATTGTCATTTTATGCCTATGGCTGAACAGAACAAATTTAAATATAAGGAACCTGGTTTGGCTCTATTAACTCTGCAAAGAACACCGTCTAGTTGATATAACCATGATGACCATGAGAATGTGCCTCTGAAGTCTATAGCTGCAGGGAGCTTAAGTGTCCAAGGGCCCAGCAGAAGTGCTCTGAAATTCACATAGGTTCTTGTGCTGATGAACAACCTTCAGGCTGCTCCCAACCAAAGATTAAGTATGGCAGGGATACCAATGCAGGCCTATTTTTGGGAGATGCAGCTTTCCTCTGATGCACAACTTTGGCTTGAGGACTTATCATCTGCCTTGTCTAACTACCTAATTTACCTTATATCTACATGGCAGTTTGAAATGCTGCCACACTAACTAATTAAAATTACCATCCTCTCTAATTTTTTAGCAGTATCATGGTTTAATGACTCTGTACGTATTCCCTGGCTCTCTCCCCATTTTCTCTCACAGGCTTTTTCCTCTATGAGATTTCTTCTTATTTAATTTTATTTTGGTGCCTGCTTCTCAGAGAATCTAGGCTAATACAACAATCAATTCTTATATTCTGAAGTTCTTAAAAAAAAAAAATCCATGAATATGTAGACCTATTATTTTTATCATACTAAAGTGCATTATTGTTACAAAATATTTGAGAACACCAGAAAAAAAAATTATAAATAGTTTCAAGTAGGTGAATAGAGAAAACTGTAAATTATAAACTTAAAAAAGTACTATTTCTCGGTATCTAAAGATGTAGAGATAAAATACAGAGTTTATCTCCATATCACATCTATTAACAATAGGAATAAATGATAATGCTTTTAAATATTTTTTCAGAGTTATTGGATTAGCATGTAATCCATAGAAGTTAAATATTAAGTTAGTTTATAATGAGAGTATAAATATAACCATATTTCAAATTACAATACTGTAATAGTATATTCATGTATTTTTCTTTTCCTACAAGAAATCCAGACTAACACTACACTATAAATTCCCCATTAGTTTTGATTCCCTTGAGAATAGAGACCACGATTTACTTGTACTTTGGGCTCTGGGGTACATGTGCACATCCTGCATCCTGCAGGACTGTTGCATAACTACATACATGCCATGGTGGTTTGCTGCCTTCATCCTGCCCTCCTCCCAACCCCCGGCTTTCACTTACATCAGGCATTTCTCCCAGTGTTATCCCTCCCCATCCTCACCGCCCCATTCTGTCCCTCCCCTCCCCTCCACCCTCACCACCTACCCTAGTGAGTGTTGTTCCCTTCTCTGTGCCTACGTGTTTTCATTGTTCGTCACCCACCTATGAGTGAAAACATGCGGTGTTTGGTTTTCTGTTCTTCTGTCAGTTAACTGAGAATGATGGTTTCCAGATTCATCCATGTTTCTACAAAGGACATGAATTCATCATTCTTTATGGATGCATAGTATTACATGGTGTATATATGCCACATTTTCTTTGTCCAGTCTATCATTGATAGGCATTTGGGTTGGTTCCAGGTTTTTTCTACTGTAAACAGCACCACAATGAACATAGGTGTGCATGTGTCTTTATAGTAGAATGATGTATAATCATTTGGGCATATACCCAGTAGAGGGATTGCTGGGCCAAATGAAATTTCTATTTCTAGATCCTTGAGGAATCTCCACATTGTCTTCCATAATGGTTGGATTAATTTACACTCCCACCAACAGTGAAAAATGTTCCTTTTTCTCCACATCCTCTTCAGCATCTGTTGTCTCCAGATTTTTTAATGATTGCCATTCTAATAGGCGTGAGATGGTATCTCAATGTAATTTTGATTTGCATTTCTCTAGTGACCAATGATAATGAGCATTTTTTCATGTTTGTTGACTTCATAAATATCTTGCTTTGAAAAGTGTCTGTTCATTTCCTTCATCCACTTTTGAATGGGTTTGTTTTTTCTCTTGTAAATCTGCTTTAGTTCTTTGTACATTCTGGGTATTAGCCCTTTGTCAGATGGGTAGATTTCAAAAATTTTTTTTGCCATTCTGTTGGTTGCTGGTTCACTCTAATGATTGTTTCTTTTGCTGTGCAGAAGCTCTGGAGTTTAATTCGGTCCAATTGTCTATTTTGGCTTTTGTTGACATTGCTTTTGGTGTTTTAGTCATGAAGTCCTTGCCTGTGCCTATGTCCTGAATGGTTTTGCCTAGGTTTCCTTCTAGAGTTTTTATGGTGTTAGTTCTTATGTTCAAATCTTTAATCCATCTGGAGTTAATTTTTGTACATGGTGTAAGGAAGGGATCGTTTCAGCTTCCTGCATAAGGCTAGCCAGTTTTCCCAACACAATTTATTAAAAAGGGAATCCTTTCCCCATTGCTTCTTTTTGTCTGGTTTGTCAAAGATCAGATGGTTGCAAGTGTTTGGCATTGCTTCCAGGCCTCTGTTCTGTTCCATCGGTTAGTATCTCTGTTTTGGTACCAGTATCATGCCGTTTTGATTACTCTAGCCTTGTACTATACTTTGAAGTCAGGTAGTGCGATGCCTTCAGCTTTGTTCTTTTACTTAGGATTGCCTTGGCTATGCCAGCTTTCTTTTGGTTCTATATGAAGTTTAAAGTGTTAGTTTTTTTCTAGTTCTGTGAAAAGGTCAATGGTAGCTTGATGGGGAAAGCATTGAATCTATAAATTACTTTGGGCAGTATGGCATTTTCACAATATTGATTCTTCCTAACAATGAGCATGGACTGTTTTTTTCATCTATTTGTGTCCTCTCTTATTTCCTTAAAGACCAAATTCAGAGTAAGTGCATAACGAAAGTTCTCACACCCTTCTCCTCAAAGTGTTGTCCAGTCACCAGGATTATTGACACCACTGGAAAGTTATTGGAAGTACAGGATCTAAGATTACCTACAGGAGTACTGGTTCCAAATTGGCACATTATCAAGATCTCTAAGTGGTTCATGTACACATTAAAATGTAAGATGAAGTGATACAGAACCCTTGTCTATCCTTTCTATTTCTTCTTTCCTAAAATAGTCTCAGCTTTAATCAAATAGTCTCCTCTGCTTCTTAACCATTTATTCAGGGAAAGCATTTCCTTAGAAGAGAAGCTATATTTGTCTAAACTGGTGATGGCATAATTCTGTTTGAAAATTATTTATTTATAAGTCAATGAGTTATGAGGTAAAATCTGCTGGAAGAAGAATTTCTGCTCAAAGTGTTATGATTTCAATAAAAGTAAAATCCCTTTTCTTATCTCTGGATGTTATTATATATTGGACCTTTAAAAGACTCTCAAGAACTGTCTTAGCTTTTTTTCTACTTGTCTGATAATGAAAGCCCAAAGAAGAAGGAAGAAGGGACCAAGAAAAACAAAAGACAAATGCAAACAGAGCCCTAACGATACTGGCTCTGCATTGGTGGAACCCTTGTTACATGAGATAAAACAAAGAAACAAACAAAATTGAAATGAAGCAACAACAAAACTTACATATTTAAGTTAACTAACATTAAATCTATTTATTTTTAAAAATTGTTATTTTTTAAATGTTGCAGCTGAGGGAATTCTAGCCCTTTCAATTTTGGAAAGAATGAATGGATGACAGGAGAGGAAAATGTAAGTTCTATTGTGGTACAGGTAAAGAAAATAACCATCACTAGTTTTATAGTTATGATTGAATATTTTTCTCTGCTCAAGTATTGGTTTTTATATTTATTTCTCTGTATCAAAATTCACCAGTTTTTTTTTATTCCTGCAAATATGTATTACCTCTAAACAAGATAAAATATTCTGTCAAAATTGAATCTATTTGTCATTGAAATGTTTGGATAATTCAATGAGAATACAAGAGTAGTTTATTATTTATCTTAGAACAATGACTACTTTAAATAATATTTAACTTTCTAGCGAGGAATATTTATACCGATTAAATAGTATAAGAAGCCTTCTTTACTCATATAGATATGCACATCTTGAATTATCTTTATACATGGGTACAACAGTGATATGAATTTCATATACTTTAAAGAAGTAATACAGGACAGAGTTTGAAACATTATCATTGTCATCATTATTTTTATGTTACTGGACTTCATTGTATATATTAAACACTAGGCATTCCTCTACATGCTTTACAAGAGTTAACATATTTAAACCTTACCATAAATCTATGAGCTTGATACACAGTAATTATTGTCTCTATTTTTTTTTCTTTTTTTTCTTTTTTTGGTTTAGAATGTCTCAACTTTGGCACTACTTATATTTTCTGCTGGATAATGATATTTTGGGATGTAGGATGTTTGGCAGCATTACTTGCCTCTGCCTTCTAGATGGGTTGAAAACCACTTTTATAGTTGAGGAGAATAAGTATAGAGGGTATGCAACCTAATTTTCCCATTAAGACTACTGCAGTCACTCCCTCAGCTGCTATATATGTTGGAGGGATCAGATGAGTCTGTCCTTGGGAATTGTTTACATATGACCCATCACAGAGTTATACATATAATAAGTGGTATACTCAGGATCCAATCTCATGCAGAATCAGGTTACCATGCTCTTCGCCATTGTGCTGTGTTGCCTGTCCTATACCTATTACTAATGGAGAGATGATTATTTTATTCATGATATATGAATAATAATAATATATGGAAAGAAAGAAGCAAGAAGGAAATGAAAAGAAGAGAGCATGTGGAAATGAAAAGCTATTATTTTTATTCTTGTCATTTCCTCCGCCTAAAATGCCTTGACTTCACTACACGTGTTTGATTGATCCCATTCATTAACCTACCCTTGTCTCATCTTACATACGCCAGTTGAGATAGCCCGTTATCTGTAGGCTATTTTACCT